AATTGACATCATTTGAGTCAATTGGAGGTGTACCTGTGGGTGTATTTCAAGGCCTACCTTCAAACTCAGTGCCTCTTTGCTTGACATCATGGGAAAATCTAAATAAATCAGCCAAGACCTCAGAAAAAAAATGGTAGACCTCCACAAGTCTGGTTCATCCTTGGGAGCAATTTCCAAACGCCTGAAGGTACCACTTTCATCTGTACAAACAATAGTACGCAAGTATAAACACCATGGGACCACGCAGCCGTCATACCGCTCAGGAAGGAGACGCGTTCTGTCTCCTAGAGATGAACATACTTTGGTGTGAAAAGTGCAATCCCAGAACAACAGCAAAGGACCTTGTGAAGATGCTGGAGTAAACAGGTTCAAAAGTATCTATATACAGTGGGGAAAAAAAGTATTTAGTCAGCCACCAATTGTGCAAGTTCTCCCACTTAAAAAGATGAGAGAGGCCTGTAATTTTCATCATAGGTACACGTCAACTATGACAGACAAAATGAGAAAAAAAAATCCAGAAAATCACATTGTAGGATTTTTTATGAATTTATTGGCATATGATGGTGGAAAATAAGTATTTGGTCAATAACAAAAGTTTCTCAATACTTTGTTATATACCCTTTGTTGGCAATGACACAGGTCAAATGTTTTCTGTAAGTCTTCACAAGGTTTTCACACACTGTTGCTGGTATTTTGGCCCATTCCTCCATGCAGATCTCCTCTAGAGCAGTGATGTTTTGGGGCTGTCGCTGGGCAACACAGACTTTCAACTCCCTCCAAAGATTTTCTATGGGGTTGAGATCTGGAGACTGGCTAGGCCACTCCAGGACCTTGAAATGCTTCTTACGAAGCCACTCCTTCGTTGCCCGGGCGGTGTGTTTGGGATCATTGTCATGCTGAAAGACCCAACCACGTTTCATCTTCAATGCCCTTGCTGATGGAAGGAGGGTTTCACTCAAAATCTCACGATACATGGCCCCATTCATTCTTTCCTTTACACAGATCAGTCGTCCTGGTCCCTTTGCAGAAAAACAGCCCCAAAGCATGATGTTTCCAACCCCATGCTTCACAGTAGGTATGGTGTTCTTTGGATGCAACTCAGCATTCTTTGTCCTCCAAACATGACGAGTTGAGTTTTTACCAAAAAGTTATATTTTGGTTTCATCTGACCATATGACATTCTCCCAATCCTCTTCTGGATCATCCAAATGCACTTCAGACGGGCCTGGACATGTACTGGCTTAAGCAGGGGGACACGTCTCACACTGCAGGATTTGAGTCCCTGGCGGCGTAGTGTGTTACTGATGGTAGGCTTTGTTACTTTGGTCCCAGCTCTCTGCAGGTCATTCACTAGGTCCCCCCGTGTGGTTCTGGGATTTTTGCTCACCGTTCTTGTGATCATTTTGACCCCACGGGGTGAGATCTTGCGTGGAGCCCCAGATCGAGGGAGATTATCAGTGGTCTTGTATGTCTTCCATTTCCTAATAATTGCTCCCACAGTTGATTTCTTCAAACCAAGCTGCTTACCTATTGCAGATTCAGTCTTCCCAGCCTGGTGCAGGTCTACAATTTTGTTTTTGGTGTCCTTTGACAGCTCTTTGGTCTTGGCCATTGTGGAGTTTGGAGTGTGACTGTTTGAGGTTGTGGACAGGTGTCTTTTATACTGATAACAAGTTCAAACAGGTGCCATTAATACAGGTAACGAGTGGAGGACAGAGGAGCCTCTTAAAGAAGAAGTTACAGGTCTGTGAGAGCCAGAAATCTTGCTTGTTTGTAGGTGACCAAATACTTATTTTCCACCATAATTTGCAAATAAATTCATTAAAAATCCTACAATGGGATTTTCTGGATTTTTTTTTCTCAATTTGTCTGTCATAGTTGACATGTACCTATGATGAAAATTACAGGCCTCTCTCATCTTTTTAAGTGGGAGAACTTGCACAATTGGTGGCTGACTAAATACTTTTTTTCCCCACTGTACATAGTAAAACGAGTCCTATATTGACATAACCTGAAAGGCCGCTCAGCAAGGAAGAAGCCACTGCTCCAAAACCACCATTAAAAAGCCAGACTACGGTGTGTAACTGCACATGGGGACAAAGATCGTACTTTTTGGAGAAATGTCCTCTGGTCTGATGAAACAAAAATATAACTGTTTAGCCATAATGACCAATCAGGCCTACAAACCTGATTCGCATAGAAGTCATTTAGCTCGTCTGGTAGGCTTGTGTCACTGGGCAGCTCGCGGCTAGGCTTCCCTTTGTAGTCCGTAATAGTTTGCAAGCCGTCTTGGAAAGGAGGTTTTGGCTGGGTCTTCGCTCAGCTCACTTGTAAGCCTCTGATTGTCCACCAGAGGTCACAATGTCCTTCTTCTTTGTAGAATTTCTCTGGTAGTGAAGTGTTTGTTAGAACAGATAGAACACATACTTCAGATGCACCAATGGTTGTCTGAGATGGGATTCTCCTTTCTTCCCACCTCGTGTCTTTAGTCAAAGTTCTAGACTACTTTACATGGACAGCTGCAGACTGCCAATGCTTTTTGGTCTAGTGAGTTTATCTACTTCACCTCGTGTAGAGATTCAAAGTTCTAACCATTTTAAGCTGTGTAGCCACAGCACAATGCTTCCTGGTCTGAGGTAAATTTCGTTAACAAGGCTTTTTATCCTCGGGTAAAAAGGGGGCGTTCCATCACGCCGACACAATGTCTGTGCTCACTTGGGCGTGGTTACTGACTGGGCAAAAGTTTATATAAAAAACAATTTCATTTAGAAGACTAAAATCACATTCTTATCTTCACAAAATACTCTCATACTTTATCATATATTTTATACAACATTTTGACGTAAAGTTGACAAATAGAATGTGTACACTTTCCGAGTTACAGTTATTTATTGATACCATCCTTAATGACATCACAAAATAATAAACAATATGACATGATTATTCTTTAGATCCCCACTGGCCATTCTTAACATTCGGATGATAGAAATAAATGTTCCAATATCCACTTTTTAGGGGAAAAGGTTTTGGCGACAAAACTCTCTCTCTAGACAAAGGCATTATTTTCTCAATACTAGAGAGCCATTGAGAGAGTTCTCTCCTGCTTAAATGTATGACCCCCTTCTGTGGGTGAGAGGGTCTGGTTGTTGTCAGCCATTTGCCAAGCTGATCTGAGGCCTTTGGATCCTCAGCCAGGAGAGTCATGACAATGGCATATGCTAAAATACATATGAATAATCAATGCAGTACAGTGTTATATATTAAAATTGGTGATATAGGCAGGAGACCTCACATAATGTGTCAGATAGTTGACCTGACCTCAGATTTTCTCTTCTAAGCTAATATGACAGACAAGTGACACACAGTATTACTGCTATGGTCTGATTTAAAAGACAGGAGACTGATGGTAAGAGGTAAAAGGTAGTAATATGCATAATCACCACTGGGGTTGTGGCAGCTATAGTCTGAGTAAATTCAGACACATTATAGTTACTCTGGGGACACATCTGCATATAACACAATGTCAATTTTGATGTACCCGGAACAGATTAACATTAGTAAGAAAGTGACCCTAACCCTTGCTTCGTCCCACACCCCGGCATAACCCAGCCATAAACCTAACCTTAACCCAAGCTTCATGTCCACACCCTTGCTCAACACTTAGCCATAACCCTAACTTCCTGTCCACACCCCGTCTCAAGCCTAGCCATAACCTAAGACTGGCCTAACCTGTGGTTTTGAGTCCTCCTGTTGGTTTCTAATGTATCTGTCTCTGCTACGTCCTCCTGGGTAAACACACGTTCTTTCAATGTATAATGTATTTGACAAGAGCATCTTTCCCCCCAGTTGTGTCTGAATTTGCCAAGAGGTGGATAACATTATACTAACAACATTCTGCCTGGTCAGCCTTTTTTTAGACGCCTGCTGTCAAAATAGAACAACTTCAGTCTTCAAGTATTTATGGACCTCAGCGCAATGAAAAAGACAACCGATTTACTGTACCTTTAACAAAGCGGAAACTCTTGAGCCTTGCTAGAGGACCTTTTTGTAAATGATATCAAGCAAATTGAGCAGGTAGAATAAAGGTGTGTGATATTGTGATTAACCAATATGTAAATATCTGATTAGGTTTACATGTTCAAAGTTTGGCACTTTAATTATCCTAATTATTAGCAAAGATATTATACCATTGAAAGACAGTGTCCTACGTCTCCACACATTAAAACCTATACTCAGATAGTCACCATGTCTGGCCAGCCCTAAATCAGATTTACTATCTGACAGATCATGATGAAGAGGAATAAACAATAATCTGGGTCTTTTAATCAGAAGTGTCTCCTGTCCCAGCCAGGCAGAGAAAACAAACCAACACAGTCAAGATGACTCAGGGGATTCACAAGACTATAAAAGTGGTAAGCATCTCTCAAGATGGGTATGGTAATCACATTCAATGCTTACCTTGCATTTTAAAACCAGAAAACATATCTATTTATCTTCATTACAGCATGAAAAGTCCGGAGTGTTCATTGTATTTCACCTGCTGAATTCAATGAGTACTCCCGTGAAAAGAAGGCTAACGAAACTGATATTCATAGGACAGGACCATTTTATTTTGCAACAGAAAATGCATTCTGAGGTAAATGTTACAAAACTCGGTTTCGACAATAGTGTAATGATGTTGTTTTTATTGACATTGACATTTACATTTACGTCATTTAGCAGACGCTCTTATCCAGAGCGACTTACAAATTGACACAGCATGAATTGGAAAACCAATGACATAATTTATAATACTGACATAATTGTTATGTTTCTTCGAGACATATTTGAACAACAATGAAATGCAATAGTAGTAGTCTTTAGGCTAAACAGCTACAATATACAGTATCTTGATGCGACAATAACTAATTCTGCGCCTCTATCCTTCCATACCACTGATCATTTAAAGTGACTGGTGGATATAACATACAGACTGCTATGCTGCTTCTACCCAGCATCCCTCAGTGGCGGACATCATGGTGCTGCTGGACATCCTGATCCGCATCCTCCAACTCGTCTTCCTCGTACTCGCCCACTTCGTCAGCAGTGGCGTCCTGGTATTGCTGGTACTCAGAGACCAGATCATTCATGTTGCTCTCAGCCTCAGTGAACTCCATCTCGTCCATACCCTCTCCGGTGTACCAGTGAAGGAAGGCCTTACGGCGGAACATGGCAGTGAACTGCTCAGAGATCCTTCTAAACAGCTCCTGGATGGCCGTGCTGTTGCCAATAAAGGTGGCGGACATCTTAAGGCCGCGGGGCGGGATGTCACAGACGGCAGTCTTCACATTGTTGGGGATCCACTCTACGAAGTAGCTGCTGTTCTTGTTCTGCACGCTCAGCATCTGCTCATCCACCTCCTTCATGGACATGCGCCCGCGGAAGATGGCGGCCACGGTGAGGTAGCGGCCGTGGCGAGGGTCGCAGGCGGCCATCATGTTTTTGGCGTCAAACATCTGCTGGGTCAGCTCGGGCACGGAGAGGGCACGGTACTGTTGGCTCCCCCTGCTGGTCAGAGGGGCAAAGCCGGGCATGAAGAAGTGGAGGCGGGGGAAGGGCACCATGTTAACGGCGAGTTTGCGGAGGTCGGCGTTGAGCTGACCAGGGAAGCGCAGGCAGGTGGTGACCCCGCTCATGGTGGCCGACACCAAGTGGTTGAGGTCTCCGTAGGTGGGCGTGGTGAGTTTGAGGGTACGGAAGCAGATGTCATAGAGAGCCTCGTTGTCGATGCTGAAGGTCTCATCTGTGTTCTCCACCAGCTGGTGCACAGAGAGGGTGGCATTGTAGGGCTCCACCACCGTGTCTGACACCTTGGGTGAGGGCATGACGCTGAAGGTGTTCATGATGCGGTCGGGGTACTCCTCGCGGATCTTGCTGATGAGCAGGGTGCCCATGCCAGAGCCGGTGCCCCCTCCCAGGGAGTGGGTGAGCTGGAAGCCCTGGAGGCAGTCACAGTTCTCAGACTCCTTCCTGACTACGTCCAGGACAGAGTCAACCAGCTCGGCTCCCTCTGTGTAGTGGCCTTTAGCCCAGTTGTTACCAGCTCCACTCTGACCTGAAAGACCCATGATGAACCTGGGTTAGAGACATAGCATCTTTGAGCTAATAAACGTCTAGCCATACACATCTAGGAGAATGAAAAACAAGTCACCAATAACACGCATATGCATTGTGTACATTATTTATTAGTTTCCAGTGAAAGAGACAATTCCATTCCGTTGAAACAACATTGAATATTTTTTATCTAATAAAAGTAGTGTTTTAATCTAATATGTACTGATGTGAGTGTAGGCCTACTATACTTTATGCAGTAATATAGGTAAGATGTCCCTGGGTGGATTTTATTTAGCTCTATAGTCTGCATTCTGCAGAGTCACCATGCTGGCTGTCTCTGCCTGACACAACTGCAAAAACGTTGCACATAGAACACACTGTTCATCTATGTGAAAGGTAACATTTGTTTCAAAGGACATGACAGTGAATGCTGACACAGACATGACATGCTTTGGGTCAAAGATGGATGTGCTGATGAGGACATGATGATGACCAATTGGGCAAGATAGCACAGACTGATCTGGGACCAGGCTGGGCAAGATAGCACAAAAATATCTGGAATCCGGCTAGATGATAACCACTACTCACCAAAGACAAAGTTGTCTGGTCTGAAGAGCTGGCCGAAGGGCCCGGAGCGTACAGAGTCCATGGTGCCTGGCTCCAGATCCACCAGGATGGCCCGGGGTACAAACTTGTTACCTTTAGGGGGAGGAGAGGCAGGGACATCAGGGGTGTATTCATTAGTCGGATTTTGTTGCAAAACATTTAGTCTGTTGCAAAACGTTTTGCAACGGAAACAGTTTACTCCAAACCGTTTACTACCCTAGGTGGGGTAGCATGGTGAAGCCACATCAGAGGGCATAACCTATACAGTAAACATAGATTCTGAGAAAATTAACCCAAAAAGCTTTGTGGAAATATCTTGCCTCCCATTGGCATTTGGGACTCTGGAAATAGGGGCTGTGTGTTTATACAAACGGTTTGCCTTTTTCTACAAAGGAAACTGAGGGCAAATACTAGGCATCCCTTGACCATGCTCTCCCGCACAGCTTCAAATCAAATGAAATGTTATTTGTCACATGCGCCGGTGTAGACTTTACTGTGAAATGCTTACTTACAAGCCCTTAACCAACAAAGAAGTTCAAGATATAGAGTTAAGAAAATATTTACTAAATAAACTAAAGTAGAAATAAAAAGTAACACAATAAAATAACAATAACGATAACGAGGCTATATACAGGGGGTACCGGTACCAAGTCAATGTGCGGGGGTACAGGTTAGTAGTGGTAATTTGTACATTGAGGTAGGGGTAAAGTGACTTATTAAACAGAGCAAAGCACAGACTTCCTCTGATTCTCTCTCTCTCTCTCTCTTTCTCTATCTCGCTCTCTTTCTCTCTCTCTGTTTCTCTCTCTGTCTCTCTCTCTCTCTCTCTCTCTCTCACTTAGCCTCCCTTGAAGACTGCAGCAGCATGCAGCACAGAGAACGTGCTAGTTCCAGTCCTAAGTAGGGAGGGGGAATAAAATGTGCTGTGCAGAATTGATTCAGACCAAGATGGCATCTCCCAGTAGACATGACACATTTTCTCTCTTATCGTCAAATCATCTTATCATCTTAACTCTCATACTACCGAGGCATATTTTTTATCATAGCCCAAAGGTGGTTTATTCAATTATTAAAATGTTTAATGACTTTGTCAATAAACTTGTTCTGAATACATCTAAATCATTGTTGAGTGTTTCTGTATCAATATAGACTTTTTAAAAATTCTAGTCCTTTGGGGTCATTTTGACCCTAGCCAAAAACATCTAATTCCGCCTATAGTAATTAGATAGATAGGACCTTTATTTGAATCTAGGTTTCTCTGGAGACATACTAACATGTTATCCATACCAGCAGAGGGTGGAGGGGACCTGTATCAGTGATTTTGTCCAGATAGACAGATCATCTGCAGAGATATATTGTAGCTACCCATGTACTCGCCTAAGATTGTAATTTTTCTATCCCACGTATTGTATGACTGTGTACAAAACCAACATTATCTTATTTTGGTGCATATAAAAATCTGCCAATTGTATAAAAAGTCTGCCAATGGTGTAAATACTTGATAGAACTGCAATACCGAACTCCGATACAATCTGAATCTACACAGAGAGCTGTACTGGTGTGTATTGTCTGAAAAGTCATTATCTAGGGCACATCTAAAAAAGTATTTATTTGAATCCGGGTTTCTCTGGAGACAATATTAAGTTATACATAGAGGGGGACCTGTATCAGTGATTTTGACCAAATAGACAGACCATCTGCAGAAATGAAGCACCTTATGTACTCGCCTATGGTTATAACTTGTTATAACTAGGTATGACCGTGTACAACATCTAAATGACCTTACATATATGCTTAGTTACAGTCAAAACAGCTCATAAAAGTCTGTCAGTGGTATGAATACTTGGTAGAACTGTAATACAGAAACCAGCTACCCTCTAAATGTACACATAGTCCTGTAGTGGTGTATATTCTTCGAAAAGTAGTTATTCTACAGGAAATGTTTTATATATATATATATATATATATATATAAACTTGTGCAACCTGTTGTGGTATTCGGGTTGCTATAACATTTGGTTTGAAGTGACTTTGAGGATTTGTAAGGATCCTGCCATAGGCCCTACCACTCCCATTGTTTCACTAGCAGCGATGCTAATGCTGGCTATGGGGTAAGTAAATAAAGAAAACTAAGCCATGTTTTTGGTCATTGTCTCTCATTATCAATGGATTAATAATTTTTTGTGAATAAAATTAAGTATATTTCAAATGTTGTTGTACTGTCCCCTTAAATGGCAGTTGTTTTTTACCACATAAATTTGACACAATTAGTATTTAGTTCAAAATTCTAAAAACGAAAAGATACTACAATCAAATGATGGTCAATCTGCTTTTTAGCACTTTGTACTTTGGAAAAAAGCTGCACATTATTTAAGGGAAAAATGTATATTTTCGTTTTATTGAATATGCAAATTAACTGTAATTTTGCTAAAATAACAGTCTGTTTGGTTATTGTTTTTATTTCAGAAAACATTATTTACATGTCTAATGATGTTTTGATAAGAATTAAGTTGATATTTGCTATGATGGTTGCTTTTTCCAATAGTTTCTTCTTGGGGTCAATGACCCTAGTTGGTAATCCATGTATGTAAAATATGTTTGTAGTATGAGGGTTAACGTGCTGCTATACACATCTCTCTATGAATCAATGCCTTGTTATTTTAGGAAACGTTTTATTGATGAATGCACAATGCATGTACAATAATGGATGGCAGAGTTGCAAGCTCAATTTACGTCTGACAACAGTGAAATGAGAGGGATCAATACTGCTTAGCATTTGCACGCACTGGAAATAGGATCAGAGCTAACCACAGGACATGTAGGCCTCATAGGCCCCAGGTTCTGCAGCCTGGTTGGTTTGGCAAAGGAGTCTGACAGCTCAGTATGGCAAAGAGCCAGAGACAAAGGATGGGATGCTGCATGGCAATGACCTTCAAAATGCCTGGATAATAAAAATCAGACTGACACACACCGACAGCAGACAAGCATTAGGGTTGGGTCCAGAGACTACAGATGTATACCTGAACCCCCCCCCCCCCCCCCCCATGTAGAGACAGATATAGAGTTTGCTGTTTGGTTGTTTATTTCACTTTTGTTTATTATCTATTTCACTTGCTTTGGCATGTAAACGTACGTTTCCCATGCCAATAAAGTCCATTGAATTGAATATAGAGAGATAGAGGGAGAGAAAGAGGATAGTGGGAGAGAGAGAAATTATGCTGGAGAGAGAGAGAGAGAGAGAGAGAGAGAGAGAGAGAGAGAGAGAGAGAGAGAGAGAGAGAGAGAGAGAGAGAGAGAGAGAGAGAATGAGAGAGAGAGAGAGAGAGAGAGAGAGAGAGAGATTGGCAGGTACCTGCTTCTGTCCTCATTTCCCCTGCCCTTCCACAGGGCCCACTGCACCCAGACAGATATTATGGTTGCAATGTCACATACTCAGTTTGGATTAGCCCTACAGAGCATGACTTTGCAAATCAAATTAGGTCTGCATTTTTCATCACCAGGGAATATTGATTTACTTCTGTTTTCATTTGGGGGACAGCCAAGTGATATTACAGTGTGCTTATGTTTATTATTTTCTTTAACCTATTGTTCAGATGCATGCTGAAATTACTTCATGCCCAGTCCAGACAGATAGATGTATATTTACCCGATGCTTCATTGTAGTATACGTTTATCCTCTCCAGCTGCAGGTCACTGTCACCTTGGTAACTGCCGGTGGGGTCGATGCCGTGTTCGTCACTTATGACCTCCCAGAACTGAGAATTGGACAGAGATGTAGGTACTGCAACTTTGATGTTTAATGGTTTGAACTAAGAGATAAATACCACTTTCTCTCACTTTGCTCTGGCTATAACCTGTTCAAGACACATGGAAAAATACCGAACGGTCTTTGTGCGTAGCCCTATCCCTATTGCGCATGGTGATAGCATGACTCACCGGCCCCGCAGATGCGCGACACCACTGCAGACCCTTTGCCTCCTAGCCCAAGTCCAAGAGGACCACACCGTTATCAATCGAATAGCATCTCATATTTCTAAGTAAATGAAACACTAATTTCCATAACATATACTTTTTGGGGGGAATTTGATGTCTTGGAAAATCCAGTGCGACATAGGCCTATTTTAAATACAGTTACATGGGAGAAAAAGCATGCAGGTCTCAACACAAAAAAAGTGATTGCTCTAAAACAACCACTGCGTCAGTATAAAAATATAAACATGCCACCTACTTTGGCACCAATCTGGTTTCCACATTGCCCGGCCTGGATATGAACAATCTCCCTCATGATGATGCCTTGTGGGTGCACGCAGACAGCAGCCTTTTGTCTCAGCTAACACCGATGTCCTCAACCTCGTTTATACCGCTGTATGTGTCGCCTCTCAGCAGTTTCTACATTCATAGGGCGAGCGGTGAGCCCAGGGAGAGTCATCATGTTGATGCTGATTGGGTGACGTCACACCGGCGCTGCATCCCAATCTCGCGCACCAGCCTATCAGCGAGCACCACTTTGATGCAGTGGACCAGTGGACCGGTTGATGATTGCTGCTGCATCGCTCCCCGTGACATCACCCCGTCCCAGACCAAATGCGGCTTGTTGCCAATCACTTTTAATGTAAAACATGGCCCATGGTTGTTATTTTCCAAGTTAAGGAAATGCAACTTCATTGTTGATAAATATCCCCCTGTTCAATGTAACCTAGGCATTGTGCCCACCTTCTAGTCTGCCTTCCTGCATCTACTTCAGTGTACATTATGTCCAATAGAGGTCAGTTTGGAGCTCTGCAACTATACCATCCACAATGTTGTCAATGCCATTCTCAAGACAGACATATTCGGTATTTTTTTATCAATCACTTGTTTAGTAGAGGGGAGTAGCTTTCTCCTAGGAGCATGTTTGCAGGGTATTGAGATATCATATGACATCATAAGACAGAAAGTGGTTAAAACCAGTTTTCCAAGCAGATACATATTTTGGCAGCATCAGTGGGTTAATACTTGGTTTAGTAGAATGGTCTTATCATTTAAAGATCAATAAAACAAATTACTTAACCATATTTACGGGATGACTGTCTAGCACAGTAGTATAGCAACATTCAGCCTCAATTTAATAAGCAAGTGATATATTGATAACTGATCCACAACATATAGCATCAACACACTTTATGCCCATGTCATGATCTTGGGTTAGAGAGGACATCAACTAGTAAAACAAGGGAAAACTCAAATACCTCAAGATTCAGTATCAAGAGGTGGCTTGAAAATAGTCTAAAGAACAATTAACTCAACAAAGACCCAGGAATTCATCATTGATCAATAAATAGTGAAGTTTATTACAATGACACATGGCTTATATACAAGTGCATTACTCAGGTAAAAAATATATATATAATAAACAGGTACAGTCTGCGATTTTTACATTCATTAATTCATTCAAATCTTGCACCAACAGAAACTCTGCGCCATATTGGGGTTATTTTTCATTTCACCAACAGAGATGTTTGGTTGCATGTAGGATGAGTAAAGATTTTATCTGTTGAAAACCTGATTTGTTCAGTTGAAAACCCTTTCCAAACCATTGTATGATGACACAACCTAGAGAATCATTGTCATTTTACATAACATCTGTTTGTTTTCCCATCTCTAAATGCATCTTCTTTACCTGAATGTATTCTATGGTCTATCTACTTACTTAATTACTGTTTCACTATAGCCACTCTCCAAGGCATCACAGTACTTTAACCATACACTATCGCCTGGTGCTGACTTTGCTATTACATATGAAAGCTGAGACTGTAATGTAAGATTGCAATGTGTTGTATTGTGACATTTTAAGATAAGAGTGTCTGCTAAATGACCAGAATGTAAATGAAAAATGTAAATGTAATTTTGCATTTGAGGTTGCACCATTTGCTCCTGTGTGTATCAGTTCATGTGTGTATCAGCTAACCAATGAGATGGTGAGGTTGCGTTTCAGGAAATGGGGGGTGAGAACTATCTACAGCTGCAGACAATGTCCTCTTTAACATCTGTAAGATTGACCTATTTTGTTGTTCCAGTGTGAATAGACAGTACAGTGACAGACTGTACAATAAAGTAAGTGTATTGTAGTGTATTGCATTGTACATATACAACGTGTTGAGTCTCTTATTGAAGTGATAGAGTGCTCAGACAGACTATGTGTCCATAACAGCAGCCTCCTCACATCACTGCTAGCCAAAAGAGCTAATCAGACTAGGGTGAAGTTGCCCCTTGACACTGATCTTGGGTAAGTTTTGCATTTCCTCCACTAATGGTGAAATTGAGGGCCGGGGGAGGGGAAGCTGATCCTAGATCTGTACCTAGGGGAAACTTTACTCCAGAATGAACTACTCTGAGTTGACAGGACACCAGGATACATTGTGCTTTGAGGCCTGGGGTGTATTGGGCCCTGTGTAGCTCAGTTGGTAGAGCATGGCGCTTGCAACGCCAGGGTTGTGGGTTTGATTCCCACGGGGGGCCAGTATGAAAAAAATAAAAATATATATATGCACTCTGGATAAGAGCGCCTGCTAAATGACTAAAATGTAAAATGTATTGGAGATTAAATAAGTGAATAGGCCCATATAGGGCTGTACTGAAGTTTAACTTGTTTCACATATCCTTTCTGCACCATGCTTGATTCTTGTGAACAGGGTAGATGTAGTATTAGGAATTAACCTCACAGGAAAAGTATAACTTCTTTAACAGCATGCTTATTTACCAGGAAATAACCAGAGAATTAACGGAAAGTATGTTTTTACACATTTAGTATTTACCTAGTTATGTTTTACATCCATAGAAATACATGACAGTACGTGTTGTGATGACTACTGTATGATTAGTGTACAGTAGAGGGATCATATTGGCTGCAATTGCATCATACACAACACTTTGGACACCTCCAAAGCCATTGTATTTTCCTGGTTAAATACATAGTCATAAACACACTGTATAAGAATGTGGACTCCATGGCATTTGAAATGACAAGACATCAATCAATGAGATTTGAAAATAAGCTCTACAGTAAATGAGTGATGTTGTATTTGTAAACAGTGGCCAATTGACACAGATCTCTGCACAATCGGATGTAGAAGCCTTATTAGTGAACTGACAGCCACCATTTTGTTTGTACGGTATGTACTTTTGTCAACAGTCAGTCAATCACAGATGTTGGTAAAGCATGATGTTGACACTAGCCATTTGGGTTTTAAAAAGAGAAAGAAAGCTCCTCATATATTTCTGTTTTAATAAAAATAATCAAAGATGTTTGTTGTTTTTTCCAATCAAGAGATCACAACATTTCTCTATCATGTCTGTATTGATTACAATTAAATAAGTACTTCTTGTTAATGATTGTTAATATTTTGAAGTAAAAACCAAACAAAAACAGAGAGGGGTAAGCCTACATTTTAAAATGTAGCAGAATTTTAGTCAATATCACAAAAAGATCAATTTTGCATACTTTTATGAAGCGAAAATAATTTCAGGTATATTTCTTTAGGGAATATACTAAAAATATTTTTACTACAAAAAATATGCTAATTACACATATACAATACACACAAGATGGTGGTAATGACAGATATATTTGACAAAATACTTTTGTCATTCATGTGTCCATTTCAGAGCGATAGCTCTTGTGTCTTTTTAGGTAACATTTGAACATCACTTCTTTGTTTTGTGGAAAAGTTCACATTTTTGTTTACATGCTCTGTCCCCGTAGCAAAGGATAAAGTGCCACTTACATTCACACAAATAATGGTAACAGTGCCAGCTAGCTGTATACACTAAGGACACGCCCCTTGAGATTATAGTGGAAATATATATATTTTTGTAATCAAGCTCAACATCAGTAGCATAACAACATTAAGTATGCAATTTTACCTACAATATCACATTTACAAGATCCAATTGCATACAGTACAATTATTTTAATTTAGAGTGGAAAAATAAAAAGATGGCGCTTCAGTCCCATGAAACAGGGAAATAGTTTTTAAAAATCTAAAATGTTTCACTTTCAGGACCGCACCGTCAATAATCACAACATAGCCCTATAGGACCAACAGACCTCTCTCACTTAAACCACATCACTGCTAAAGCTCTCCTTTTCTACTTTCATTTCAGACAAACAGTCTATTGTCCTTTAACTTTGGAGCATGCCTCTTCAGTTCACGTCATTCTCTCCTTCTCTCTTACTTTTCATACACACATGCTTCTATAACACTAAGGACTGAAGTCTTGAGATGTTTCACTTGTGATTTTTAACTCATTGTCTAATATATCAAAATACCTCCAATACTTGGGGAAAAACTGTCTTTATTGCCCTTCGATTGGCAGTTCATTCGGGCAGCAAAATTTACTTTTGGTTTTTCATGTTTGGCAAATTGCTCTTTTCCCTACACAGATTCCAATCGCTTTCTGAGTACTAATTTTAGCGACAACAAGAACAATTAGGAGAAATCTGGCACTGTTGACATTCAAAATTCTGCTTTGTATTCTTGAAGTATTTTTTTCTACATGATAAGGCAATTGTACATCATCATCAAACACATTGGGCATACATCTAAGTCTGCAATTGAGGCAAATGTACAGTCAAATGTTTTTTAGTGGTATTTATGGCATCTCCAACTAACCTTTGGTATAAAGTGTCAGAGGATGCTAAATGGAGTTTTGGCTGGTAGTCTCTCAGTCTAAAATGACATTCAGATTCCCCCAACAACAGCAACGTCACACGCTGACAATGTCACAATTATTTACAGTTTCACACTGTGGCTGCGTAAGGGACAGTTCAAAAATGTTTGAGGTGTCCTAAAAACTTGTCACCCCCATCCTCAAAGTAAAATATATTTTCACACGACACTCCCCTTGTACTGTAAAAATGTGTTGCAAACCGTCCCCCCCTCATAGAATTAACTCTAAATAATGTTTACGACCACAAAGAGTGACCCTGTGTTCATAAACGTGACTTTGCCACTTCAGCATGCTTTTGTGGCACAGTCGATGCAACGCAGGGCTACGGGCCAGAAGGTTGAGGGTTCGCCCACCACCATGGACAGAGCTAACGCTTCCGGCCTGTTTTATTAGACCTACACTACAATCAGAGCCAGCTGCAGACAATGATCAGCTAGGTGGAAATCAGACTTAAAAAATGTTAATGCAATATTTAAGCAATAAGGCCCGAGGGGGTGTGGTATATGGCCAACATACCACAGCTAAGGGCTGTTCTTACGCACGACGCAATGTGGAGTGCCTCGATACAGCCATTAGCCGCGGTATATTGGCCATATACCACAAAACCCAGAGGTACCTTACTTCTATTATAAACTCGTTACCAACGTAATTAGAACAGTAAAAATATTGTTTCTTGTCATACCCATGGTATACAGTCTGATATACCACGGCTTTCAGCCAATCAGCATTCAGGGCTCGAACCACCCGGTTTGTAATTATATAAAATATATGCAACGAATTTTCAACCAACAGGTTTCTATGCCAATGAATCCACAACCAATAAGCAAAGCATACCGACTTCGGCCGCTTCAACATCATGGTTTGCATTTTCAACACCACAATCTGCACAGTTTGGATGCCTGAATTTTATTTTGGACGAATGTGTGCAGGTAGCCTACAGGACACTTTTGAAGTAGCCTAATCAGATTAAAACATCGTGACTGGTTATGTTTATGCCACACATAAAAGGTAATCCATTTTAGAAGTTAAATTACAAATATTTAGGCTATATTGAAGTGTTAGGTTCTAGGTCCGCGAGGAATAGCTTCTCAGATCGGAGAGGCAGAGCACGCATTAGGCTTTCCTGAATAACTGGTTCTGCTGGGAGCATATGTGGCCACATTATTATAGGACGATTTAGGAGAATGATGATGCAACAGACAGCGCATTCAGTATCAGAACTTAAAATACAGCCAGACTGGTCTGCTACTGTGTATTTCTAGACCAGGGGTCTCCAACCTTTTCTAGCATGAAAAGCTTTTAAAAAATGTAATGTGTCGCGAGTTACTCATTTTTTCTAGCTTTCAAATAGGCACATTCTTCTTTTCTCCTCTCCCCTGCAACTCTTCCCCAGGTCCTTAGTGTACACGAAAAAGTAGTGCACTATGTTTTCTGTCAATATACCTGGTAAAATATTGGTTAATAAACAACTCTATGGGGGGCCCTTATAAAATCACAATATTTCCCAAATTCTGTTGAATATTTTCCCAAATTAAGTTCTCCGTTTTATTTTTCGTGGGTTTAGATGATTTATTTTCTACTCAAAAGTACAATCGTTAATTAAGAAACAATAAAATTGTATGTTCTGAGTCCATGTCAATGCTTAAATCACATCAGAATACATAATTTTTTTGGTCTGGAAGAAAACTAACAAATTTATCTTTGAGTGTAGTTCCCCTTTAGTTCCACATCTGGCCCTTTAATTGCACATCTAGCAGGTGAGGAATGTGCCGTCTAACGTGCCGGTCTAGCGATGGTTCTGTACTGCTGCTCCTCATTTCATGGCGAAGTTTGCAAATAACAAATAATATACTGAACAAAAATATAAACGCAATATGTAAATTGTTGGTCCCATGTTTCATGAGCTGAAATAAAAGATCCCAGAAATGTTCCATTCGCACAAAAAGCGTATTTCTCTCAAATGTTATGCACAAATTAGTTTACATCCCTGTTAGTGAACAATTCTCCTTTGCCAAGATAATCCATCCACCTGACAGGTGTGGCATAACAAGAAGCTGATTAAACAGCATGATCATTACACAGGTGCACCTTGTGCTGGGGATAATAAAAGGCCACTCTAAAATGTGAAGTTTTGTCACACAACACAATGCCACAGATGTCTCAAGTTTTGAGGGAGCGGCAATTGGCATGCTGACTGCAGGAATTTCCACCAGAGCTGTTGCCAGAGAATGTAATGTTCCGTTCTCTACCATAAGCCGCCTCCAACATCGTTTTAGAGAATTTGGCAGTACGTCCAAGAGGCCTTACAAACGCAGGCCACATGTATGGCGTCGTGTGGGCGAGCGGTTTCCTGATGTCAACATTGTGAACAGAGTGCCCCATGGTGGCGGTGGGTTATGGTATGGGCAGGCATAAGCTACGGACAACGAACACAATTGCATTTTATCGGTGGCAATTTGAATGCACAGAGATACCGTGACGAGATCCTGAGGCCCATTGTGGTGCCATTCATCCGCCGCCATCACCTCGTGTTTCAGCATGATAATGCACGGCCTCATGTCGCAAGGATCTGTGCACAATTCCTGGAAGTTGAAAATGTCCCAGTTCTTCCATGGCTTGCATACTCACCAGACATGTCACCCACTGAGCATGTTTGGGATGCTCTGGATCGAAGCGTACGACAGCGTGTTCCAGTTCCCGACAACATCCAGCAACTTTGCACAGCCATTGAAGAAGAGTGGGACAACAAATCCACATGCAACAATCAACAGCCTGATCAACTCTATGCGAAGGAGATGTGTCGTGCTGCATGATGCAAATGGTGGTCACATCAGATAATGACTGGTTTTCTGATCCATTTGGGCCTAATTTATTTATTTCAATAGACTGATTTCCTTATATGAACTGTAACTCAGTAACATCTTTGTAATTGTTGCATGTTGCATTTATATTTTTGTTCAGTTTAGATACAAATGATATACTTACTCATGATATACTACTGCCATTTAATTGAGAAGGTTTTGGGGAAAGTATTTCTTTCAACCCACAAGACGGTTATCACATCAACTGGCTACACAGGAAGTGATAGACAAACGCGTGCATCACACAGACAGGGGTAATATTGCTGGAAATTAATTGTCAGATATTGTGTTACATTTGACTTTTTAAGCCAATAACCAGGGGTGGGATAATGTCAATGTTGCATTGATTAGATAGTAGCTAGGAGCTTGCGGTGTCTGATACTTGAGAGATTTGTTTATGACAGTTTGCAGTAGACCATGTGAAAATTGCATGTACTTTCAGAATTGTTTGGCAAGCTACTCATAGGTGGGCTGCGAGCTACTGGTAGCTCAAGATCTACCTGTTGGAGACCCCTGCTCTAGATCTTATAAACTGTCGAGAGTAGACCAATAAATGGAATTAATGGAATTAAATATAGAAATCACAGCGCTTTTGCGCCGTTATTCAAATTGCATTTTCACTGCAGTTTACAGCCTCACTTGAAAACAATTGTGTTCTAGGCTAGTCTAGGTAGGATAATTGTACAAGATTTACAGTATAGGGGAGATTCATGAGCTGCATGTCTCATGTCTTCACTGTTCTTTCATGCGCAATGACGCACCTGGCCTCTCTGCTTATATTGGTGCAGCTTTGAATGATTTTATGTGTGGTATGATCGCTTGTTATTGCAGATCTGGACAAACGATCCACCTACCACTATTGTCACTATGAATGGTGGATAGAGGGCAGGATAGACAGTTAGACTGGTAGATTATATTGGCCTGTGGTATAGTTAGCGCTCGGAAAAGTGTAGTGCATAAGTACCAAAACACCTTGATGTAGGGGAGGCGCATGCAAGCAGATTAGGACATTTGGCTAGAATGTAAGAAATTATATAGTAAAACCTGCAAAAGGGTGAATGTAAACCCGAGGGGAAAAAACGCACTACGCTCTCATGCACAATTTAAAAAAACACACAACCCTCCCCTATTTTGGATCCCCCAGCAGTAAATTTTGAATTGTCTCTAACCAGTCATCACTGTCACCTCAGCCGGTCCCCCTGTCCTGTTCTCCCAGTAAGAGGTGTCACAGAAAAACACTTGTCCCCAGCTCAAGCTGTTACCCTCCTGTCTGTCGCTGGCAGTCTCCCTACAGAGCAGCTGAAATGTCTGAGGCCTGATAAGCCAGTTAGTGGCCCCTTCATGTGACATGGGTGTCCAGGGCTTCTTCCTCCATGAGGGAGGGGCCCACCTCCTTGTTCCAGGGGTGGAGCTTTGGATCATGACGACGCCACCCCGTTGACAGCACTGTTTTCTGAGATGGCACAGTCCATTACAGGGAGGATACCTGAGTCTATTGGGGAGGAAATGGTGCAGTCCATTATTGTGGAAGCAGGTGCTGCCTCTGTGGTCTCAGAGTCTGTTATGTTGGGGAGCAGTGAGTCTATGAAAAGCGGAGTGGTAGAGTCCAATGTAAGGGGTTGAACAATGTCTGTGATGAGGAGAGTGGTAGAGTCCACAGTGGGGGGGTGAACAGTGTCTATGACAGGGGGAGTGGAAGAGTCCACTGTTGTGGAGGTATGAACTGAGTCAATGGGTGGCAGTGGTGGTGGTGGGAGGGTGGGGGGATGAACAGGGGAATGAGCTACAACAGGGGAAGAGGGAGAGACAACAACATCATTAACACATGGAGATGAAGAGTCCAACTCTGGAGTATGGACAGAGTCTGTGACAGGGGGAATGGTACAGTCTGAAGTAGGGGGAGGAGGAAGGGGGAGTTTGTCATCTACATAGTCTATTAGAATGGGAATGATCGAGTCTGTGGTGATGGGGCCAATAGAATCAATAGGAGTGGTAAAGTCCGCCATGGGGGGAGGGAGGACGATATCATTGATGACAGGAGTAGGGGAGGGCGTTGGAGAAGGGGGGATAGGGACAATTACAGGGGGAGTGGTAGAGCCCAAGGTATGAGGAGTTTCTATGACAGGGGGAATGGTAGAGTCCAATGTAGGGGTGGTTTCTATGACAGGGGGAATGGTAGAGTCCAATGTAGGGGTGGTTTCTACGACAGGGGGAATGGTAGAGTCCAATATAGGGGTGGTTTCTATGACAGGGGGAATGATAGACTCCAATGTAGGGGTGGTTTTTATGACAGCAGGAGGAGTAGAGTCCAATGTGGAGGTAGGGGATGAATCAAGTACTGGTGGAGTGGTTGAGTCCAATGAAGAGATAGGATGGGTTTCAATAACAGGGGGAATGGTGTTGACCAAGATGGCGGTAGAGATGTCTTCTGTATCAGGGGCAGTGGTAACTTCCTTAGTAGGGGAGAGAGCTGTCTCATCCTCAACAATGAAAATGGATGCAGAGGCAACATAATTAATGAGGGGTATATCAGTGGAATCTTCAGTGGACTTCAGAAGGGGATTGGAAGCAGTGGGGGCACTATTTCTAGGTGTGGAAGATAACAGGTACTCTTTACTAGGCAGTACGACGCCTGCCTTATCTAGGGCCGCCATGGGAGTACCAGATCGCCCATTGAGGTCTTGCTTAACCAGGGGCACGCTATCAAGATCAGGCTCAGGCTCGAGGGACGTCAACTCTATGGCGGGGGGCGCCGAAATATCTATAACCGACGGTGCCGTGAGGTCAACAGCGGAGGATGCCGTGGAGTCCATGGTGAATACGCCGGTGGCGGGCACCTCGTGCAGTGGCGGGTCGTGGACCCGGGTGTAGTCCCTGCTACTCTCTGACTGGGCCAGGAGGAGGCGCTGTTCGCCAGGTTTCCTGGGGGGCAGCAGGGGCTGGCGGGTGTAGCACTCCCCATCGGCCAGAGTCTCGGGCAGGGGCTGGTAGCGCGTCTCGGGGAGAAGGAGAATGCAGATGATGCAGATGAGGGTGCAGCAGGCGAAGATGATGTGGTGGAGGAAGTAGCCCTTCTGATTGTGCAGCTCCATGATGGGGGCGGTCAGCATGCCGAAGCCAGCGCTGGCCAGTACCAGGCCCAGACCACCTCCCCTACGGAGAGAGACAAGGAACGTCATGTCAGTCATCACTTCTGAAGTCTACACATCTACACCCAATCTCAAACCACCCCTGCCCCCTACTCTCTAAGGCAGCTCTCATGTAGATTTGAGAGGATACAGACCACCACCCCTACAAAGGGAGACATGTAACGTCAGTTAGGAAGTCACCATCTCTGAAGCACATGACTACTTCCGATCACAAAACCGCCCCATTGTCTTTAAACCTGATCCATTCTGTAGAAAGGGTGTGCCCTGCAACCTCTGCTATTTCCAGTGCAATGATCTGCTTAGCTACAGTCTGAATTTATTCAATTTCAAGGTTTTCTCTATATTCACATTCAATGGCACATTCCACATTCAAGCCCCTACTAGTCTAATTTCCTTATGCAGACACACTTGGTGATTATTGTGTTATTGACATATCCTATCAGCCATTTTAAGGCCACAACAGCAGAGAGCGTTGCAATACCATGATTCATCCGATACCATTGAGGAGTTTACCACATCAGTCACAGACTTCATCAATAAGTGCATAGACGACGTCGTCCCCACAGTGACAATACGAATGTATCAAAATCAAAACCCATGGACTACAGGCAATATCCGCGCTGGGCTAAACACTAGAGCTACTGCTTACAAGAAACGGGACACGGACATGGACAAATACAACAAAGCCCGTGGCAACCTCAGACGCAAAATCAAACATGCAAAAGGACAATATAGGAGGAAGATGGAATCCTATTACACCGGCTCCGATGCTCGTCTTATGTGGCAGGGTTTGCAGACGTTAACGGATTACAAAGGGAAACCCAGCCATGAGATGCCCAGTGATGCAGAACTACCAAACGAGCTAAATGCCTTTTATGCTCACTTCGAGAAATACAACACTGAGTCTTGCGTGAAAGCTCCTGTTCCCGATCACTGTGTGATCTCGCTCTACATGATCGATGTGAGAAGGGTGTTTTCACACTTGGCCCCTTTCAGACAATTTTTGTGAACTTAGTGCAGTTTGCTTAATTGTTTTGTGCAGTGTGAACGCTCCAAAGAAACTCAGACCCCTCAGAAGAGCCCCCAAAGCGAACTGAACTGAGACCATCTCGAGAGGTGTTCTGAATGAGTTTTGCTTGAATTCCATGGTTTCGGTTCCCTTTTTTAGGGCAATGTGAACACAAAGCTTCCCAGGTTCACTTGTAATTATTCCCACACTACACACTAGACTACTGAAATACCGTTTCCCCTGTCATAAACCCTCACATTGGTGCCACAAAAAACGTGCTGTTTTTGGATATTGATTAGCGATAGTCAAGAATGCACAGATTATTTGTTTGCAACATGTCATCTATAGGCTAAGAGAGCTTCATAAACTGTTTGAATAGTGTGAGAAGACAACATATTTGTTCAGAATCACAACATAGGGTACAAAATCTATTCTAGCTTTTAAAGGGGCAGTAACATAATAAAAAAATCCCCATACAATTCTGTCAATTTAAGCTAGAGATTGGTTTTTTGCATGGGCTGCATCTCAATCCACTACATCTGCCTATGCCGGCCTTCCGCATCTACGGTAGAAGGTGGCCGAGGTACCATGGTGTTTGTCAGACCATGACATCCCGAAAATCTGTCTTCTCACGAAAACGTCTGTAGCGTCCGAACGGTTTGGCCTAAAATGTGTGTAAAAATATATATATATTTCCTGAGCTTTCTTATATCTCCTAGATTTAACAGACACTAGGACAGACACTTCAAAATCGTATTTGTTATGGCATTTTTTTTTACTGTCTTTTTTCCTGTTATTGAATGCGTTTCTATGGGCTATAATAGTAAAGGACAAATTCAATAATTTATCAAATAATATATATATATATTTGTTTATACCTAAAGGGGTCCTATAATTTCAAATGAAATAGCTAAATGATCTATGGTATGACCATCTTAAAGCAATTCCATAATCTTTTAACTAAATGCAATCTATTAGCATCCAAAATGTAAGTAGGTATATCTAGCAGTCAGATAACACATTTTGATGGAATGGCTTGTCCTGCACTTTGTAAAAGCCTAGAATGCATTGAGTGAATATTTGGAAAAGATCTTGGTTCCTTTCTAAACATAGCAATGTGAATGCAAAGAGGACTCGGACCACAAAATAGTTTAAGTGAACTGGCAAAAGAGTTGAGTCCTCATTTAAGGCATTGGCAGTGTGAATACAAAGGGAACAGAGTTCTTTTGCTTTCTTTTACCCCAGAGTTCTGTAATTATGAAGTGCTTTGAAAGGCTGGTCATAACACACATCAACATCATCATTAGGGTTGGGCGATATCCAGATTTTCGTACCGTAATACCTTTTCTGTACCATACCGGGGTATACGGTATTACTGAATGTGCATACAAGGGGTGCTATTTTTTTTAACGCACAAAACAATTTAGGTAACAGGGATCTTGATCCAGGAAGGAATTTAATTAATCTGCTGTAACCAAGAGGCTTGAAGAAAGTAGGCAACAACACCTCCATCACGCTGACCCTGAACACGGGGGCCCCTCAGGAGTGCGTGCTCAGTCCCCTCCTTGACTCCAACACCATCATCAAGTCTGCTGACGACACGACGGTAGTAGGCCTAATCACCAACAGCGGTCAGAGAGTTCAGAGACTTGCTAGTGTGGTGCCAGGACAACAATCTCTCCGTCAACATCAGTAAGACCAAGGAGCTGATTGTGGACTACAGTAGAGCAAGCCCCCATCCACATCGATGGGACTGTGGTGGAGCCGGTCGAGAGCTTCAAGTTCCTTGGTGTCCATATCACTAAGGACTTAATTTGGTCCACTCACACAGCCACAGCAGTCGTGAAGAGGCACGACAGCGCTTCATCCCCCCAGTCTGGTGGGCCCTCGATCCTCAAAACGTTCTTCACTAAGGACACTCATCACCACGGGTTGGCAATGCACGCCTCACCGCAAGCGCTCACTAGGGTGGTGCGGACTGCCCACATCATGGGCCGACTCCTCCATCCGGACCTCTTATCAGGCGGTGTGCCAAATGGCCAAAGACCCCAGGCCATCAAGCCACGACTGTTCACTCCCTACCATCGGCAAACAATCGATTCAGACCAACAGTCCGCAGCTTTTTCCTCAATAACTGCGAAATACCATAGACGTAAATCATTATAATGTACCCGTTGCACTGACCCATTGCACTTATCTGACATCACAACTACATAACTCTATATACAGCTCCACTACCTGACACAACCCCACACTTCCAACATTACATTCAACATACATCGTAACACCACACATCAAACCGACAACAAACCCCACACTACACGACACACACATCAGAAAAAGTATTATTCACCACCAATGTGCAGTTCTCCCCTAAAAAGATTAAGGCTGTATTTCATCATAGGCACCACTATGACGATCAAACTGAAAAAAAAAATCCAGAAATCACATTTAGATTTTGTAATGATTATTTGTCATATGGTGGAGTTTTGGTCATAACAGTTTCCAAACTTGTATAACCCTTTTTGGCAATGACACAGGTCAATTTTCTGTCGCTCGCAGGTTTCACCACTGTGCTGGTATTTTGGCCATTCTCCGCAGATCTCCTCTAGAGCGTGATGTTTTGGCTGTCGCTGGGCAACAAGATTCAATTTTCTATGGGGTGAGGGTGAGATATGGAGACTGGCGAGGCCACTCAGGACCTGAAATGCTTTTACGAAGCCACTCCTTCGTTGCACGGCGTGTGTGTTTGGGATCATTGTTCATGCTGGAAAGACCCAGCCACGTTTCCATCTTCAATGCCCCTGCTGATGGAAGGAGGTTTTCACTCAAAATCTCACGATACATGGCCCCATTCCTTCTTTCCTTTACACGGATCAGTTGTCCTGGTCCCTTTGCAGGGGGACACATCTGGCACTGCAGGATTTGAGTCCCTGGCGGCGTAGTGTGTTACTGATGGTAGGCTTTGTTACTTTGGTCCCAGCTCTCTGCAGGTCATTCACTAGGTCCCCCCGTGTGGTTCTGGGATTTTTGCTCACCGTTCTTGTGATCATTTTGACCCCACGGGGTGAGATCTTGCGTGGAGCCCCAGATCGAGGGAGATTATCAGTGGTCTTGTATGTCTTCCATTTCCTAATAATTGCTCCCACAGTTGATTTCTTCAAACCAAGCTGCTTACCTATTGCAGATTCAGTCTTCCCAGCCTGGTGCAAGTCTACAATTTTGTTTCTGGTGTCCTTTGACAGCTCTTTGGTCTTGGCCATAGTGGAGTTTGGAGTGTGACTGTTTGAGGTTGTGGACAGGTGTCTTTTATACTGATAACAAGTTCAAACAGGTGCCATTAATACAGGTAACGAGTGGAGGACAGAGGAGCCTCTTAAAGAAGAAGTTACAGGTCTGTGAGAGCCAGAAATCTTGCTTGTTTGTAGGTGACCAAATACTTATTTTCCACCATAATTTGCAAATAAATTCATAAAAAATCCTACAATGTGATTTTCTGGATTTTTTTTCCTCAATTTGTCTGTCATTGTTGACGTGTACCTATGATGAAAATTACAGGCCTCTCTCATCTTTTTAAGTGGGAGAACTTGCACAATTGGTGGCTGACTAAATACTTTTTCTCCCCACTGTACATACACACACACGTGCGCACACACACACACTTTTACACTCATTATAGAGTGCCTTCAGAAAGTATTCATACCCATTGACTTATTCTAAATTGTGTTGTGTTACAGCCTGAATTCAAAATTGATTAAATTACTTTTTTTATCTCACACATCTACATACAATACCCCATAATGACAAAGCGAAAACATGTTTTTATACATTTTCGCAAATGTATTGAAAATGAAATACTGAAATCTGATTTACATAAGAATTCACACCCCTGAGTCAATATGTTACAATCAACTTTGGCAGTGATTACAGCTGTGAGTCTTTCTGGGTAAGTCTCTAAGAGCCTTGCACACCTGAATTGTACAATATTTGCACATAAAATTTTTTTTTTTATTCTTCAAGCTCTGTCAAATTGGTTGTTGATCATTGCTAGACAGCTATTTTCAAGTCTTGCCATAGATGTTCAAGCCTATTTAACTGTAACTACGCCACTCAGTATCATTCAATGTTGCCTTGGTAAGCAACTCCTGTGTATATTTGGCCTTGTGTTTTAGGTTATTGTCCTGTGGAAAGGTGAATTTGTCTCCCAGTGTCTGTTGGAAAGCAGACTGAACCAGGTTTTTCTCTAGGATTTTTTCTGTGCTTAGCTTTATTAGTTAGATTTTTTTTATCCTAAAGAACTCCCTAGTCCTTGCCGATGACAAGCATATCCATAACATGATGCAGCCACCACCATGCTTGAAAATATGAAGAGTGGTACTCAGTGATGTGTTGTGTTGGATTTGCCCCAAACATAATGCTTTGTATTCAGGACATAAAGTTCATTTCTTTGCCACCTTTTTTGCTGTTTTACTTTAGTGCCTTATTGCAAAAAGGATGCATGTTTTGGAATATTTGTATTCTGTACAGGCTTCCTTGTGGAGTAACTACAATGTTGTTGATCTATCCTCAGTTTTCTCCAATCATATCCATTAATACTAGAACCACCTGGCCTTTCAGCCTACAAGTACTCGCTAGAGAACGTTGATGGCTGTCAACTTTAGCAGACGCATCAGATCCATATCAACCCACAAGGTGCGCAAAACATAAGCACCAACACTTGATAAATTGTACATAAACTATTGTAAAGGATTAATTGCATTAAGACATATTTGTGGTAATATATAAATACATTTAAAAAAAATAGTTGTTTTTTTAGATAGTGTCAAGAATATGTTTTGTATAATTCTACAAAGTCCTAGAAAAAACATAGACCTACAGCCTATTTTCGTTTTCCATTACAATAAAAATATTACAGTTTAATCCATTTGATCAACTTTATCTGTAGATTAAATTAATAATAGAGTTATACAGTAGTAATTAATAAAGTCCAGTTACAGCTTCTTTTGACAAAGTAGAAACAAAAAATATAATAATAATATAACCAGCCAGGTGCACAGGTGACATTATTTGCTGTATTGCTAAACAAAAGCACCAGTGCATGAACAATTGTAAAGGATGAATTGCATATTTTAATTTGAAGTTTATTATGTTACTAGTTTTTGCTTAGTAGACAGAGCAATGCTGCTGCGCTAGTGGTCATGTGCTGAATGCATGGATAGCACAGATATTCTTGGAAATAGAGCTGCACCTCTTGAATTATGAGAGTTATTTGACAAAGGTAAGCGTAATAGAAACTGCAGAATATGCTCTTCCTGATACTATATAAAAATAAACATGTTTTACCTGCATGTGACTCTGATGGAGGATTTGATACAGTGATGCTCCTTTCCATGCATTTGTAAATTACAAGAAAGACCCATCTCTTCATGTACAATTTGATAACTGATAGGCCTAATATTGTCGCTCATCAGATTATTGTCAATTTAATCTTGTCTATAGGCTAACTCTTATTACACAAACTCATCATTACACTATTGTTGTTCTAAATTAAATCAACCTCTTCACCCTCATCATTCAGTTAGGCCTAATTGAAATTTGATTGTGAAGTAACTTGCACAATTATCGCCAATTCCATCCATCCATTTGTCATTTATTCAGTGAGCTGGCATCATTTGCTTCGCTGGATAGAGTCAAGGATATGTTTTGAATTATTCAAAAGGCCTACTGCAACATGTAGCATGTTTTCATTTCCCTTACAACAAATCTGATTAGTAATAGAGTTATAGTAAATAAAACAGTCCCATAACAGCTTATTTTTTTAAAGTACAACTTAAAAGAGAATGGTATCAACCCCCAAGGCGCGTGGTCAAATTAGTTGCTGCTGATAAATAGGCATAACACAAAAGCATCATTACGCTATTGTCTTTCTAAATTAAATCAACCTCTTCACCCTCCTTATCATTCAGTTAGGCCTAATTTAAAAGTAATTGTGAAGGAAGGTGCACAATTATCACCCATTCATCCATTTGTCATTCACTCAGTGAGGAGAGCAAGATGCATTAGCGCCTGGCTGGGTACCAATGTCCTACAGCACATTGTCTTAGCGGTTTAAGTTAGGAATAGGTGTGAAAAAAAAGTAAAAAGGCTCTAAATACTTTTGTGTTTGTGATTTCAAAATTCTGATATAATACAAACATTTAGGAAAAGTCAAGGAAGGAGCAGGACATAGCAATTTCTTTTGGCAGATTTTTAAAAAATTTACAAAATCAAACGTCAGTGGCCATTGGCCTATGGCGGTTCTAGTGTTAAACTGTTTTAATGTCACCATTGGCCTCATGGTGAAATCCCTGAGCTGTTTTCTTCCTCTCCGGCAACTGAGTTAGGAAGGACGCCTGTATCTTTGTAGTGACTGGTTGTATTGATACACCATCCAACGTGTAATTAATAACCTCACCATGCTCAAAGGGATATTCAATGTCGGCTTTTTTTTTTACCCATCTACCAATAGGTGCCCTTCTTTGCGAGGCATTGGAAAACCTCCCTGGTCTTTGTGATTGAATCTGTGTTTGAAATTCACTGCTTGATTAAGGGACCTTACAGTTAATTGTATGTGTGGGATAAAAAGATGAGGTTGTCATTCAAAAATCATGTTAAACACTATTATTGCACACAGAGTCCATGCAACATATGTGACTTGTTAAGCACATTTTTACTCCTGAACTTAATTAGGCTTGCCATAACAAAGGGGTTGAATACTTATTGACTCAAGACATTTCAGCTTTTTATTTGTAATTTATTTGTAAAAATGTCTAAAAACATAATTCCTCTTTGACATAATAATAATAATAATAATATGCCATTTAGCAGACGCTTTTATCCAAAATGACTTACAGTCGTGCGTGCATACATGTTTGTGTATGGGTGGTCCCGGGGATCGAACCCACTACCTTGGCGTTACAAGCGCCGTGCTCTACCAGCTGAGCTACAGAGGGTATTGTGTGTTGGCCAGTGACACAAAATCTAAATGTAATCAATTTTGAATTCAGGCTGTAACACAACAAAATGAACAACTCAAGGGTTGTGAATACTTTCTGCTGCTACTCTGTTCTTTATTTTACTCTTATTATTACTATTATTATTAGTCACTTTACCCTGCCTTCATGTAAATATGTACCTAAATTACCTCGTACTCCTGCACATTGATCTGGTACCGATACTCCCTGGATGTAGATTCATTCATGTGTTACTATTACTTTTATTTTTTTACTCTGCATCGTTGGGAAGGGCTCATAACCAAGCATTTCACGGTATAGACTAGACCCCTTGTATTCGATGCATGTGACAAATAAAATTTGATTTGATTTGTAAGTGAATCCTGCCAAAGCAGTACCATCATTTCTCTCCTTTCTGGTCTGTGACTGGCCACCAGGTGGCGTTCCAGTCACTCGAGGCAGTGCAGCGCACCATACCTTACATAATACAACACACCATCATGACGATCCAAAGCTGTGTCATAGTTTGTCCAAAGAGGGAAAGGATAATTCAAACAATATGTGGATATAGAACTACACCCTTACTTTGTTATAGAGGGGGGCATGTAAGAAGAGATCCATGGTGGGAGTGCTGTGCTAACAGCAGGGTTGTAATATCCTAGCAGGTCAGAGCAACCTTAAGTCATTAACCTCTCTATTGAGATCAAAAGACTGAGACTACATTATATTACAATAATGAGCATCATAAAACACAGGGTATTTTCCCTTCACACTACGTGATGACAGCAACCTTCAGACTACACACCTCTTTATCTTTCTCCAATTCCAAATTTGTATACAGTATATTTACATCGCTTGACAGAGTGAATGTTCTGTAAAATGTTTTAAAATTAACCAGACATTTTACTCAAGCCATCTCTGAATAAAAGGGGAATAAAATGAAACCCTGTTTTCAATTCCCATGAGGCCTAAAACATGCTCTCTCCTCAACCCTGGCCGGCACAAATCCTCACAGCCCCCTCTGAAACCTATCCCTCAACCCCCCTCAGTGGTACGCTCCAGAGGTGTGTGGGTGGGCTCACCTGATGACAGTGGGGGTGATCTCAGCGCAGAAGAAGATGCTCAGGTTGCTGACAGCGTGGGAGGAGAACATGCCGATGATGGAGAAGGCGATGGAGAAGTTCTTATTAAGTGTATCCGAGTGCTCTGCACAGAAAGAAGACAACACACGAGTCAGCCATTAAACACGATTCAGCCTAAATTATTAAAGTGAGATTAGTGTATATGAGCACTCTGCTTAGAAAGCAAACAAACATAACAGTTATCCAGCCATTATACAGAGAGAATACATTCTAATGTAGAAAGGTGAGATAAGCTCAAAGGAAAATACTATATCTAACCTTGATAGATGAATGACGCTCTTATGAATGCTCAATGCACTGAGCATGAAAAGTACCTATGCTTTCTACTAAGAGCAGGGTGTTATTGAAGGATGATCCTACTACTTCAACAACACATTTCCTGCCATCTTGACATAAAACTATGGGTTTATAAATAACATATGTAGATGGTTACATAATTCCTATGACGTGTATGTTCTTGAACATACTGTATGTTGTCCATCACCCTGACCATGTTATCCATTTAACTCAATAAGCCCTGAAGGATTACTCTGACGTCTATCTGTCTGATCCTCAGCTAAACAACAACAAAACAACCCTGGAACTAACTCACACAGTGCTGCTGAATGAGACATGTCTAAATTGAGGCTAGTCTCAGATCAGTTTGATGTCTGAATGAGGCATGTTTAAATTGCATCATCCGAGGCTGGTCTCAGATCAGTTTGGTGTCTAAATGAAACATGTTTAAGTTGCCCAAAGAGGATCATCTGAGGCTGGTCTCGGATCAGTTTTGTGTCTAAATGAAAGATGTTTAAGTTGCCCAAAGAGGATAATCTGAGGCTGGTCTCGGATCAGTTTGCTGCTCCTCTCTAATCTCTAATCCTCTGGCTGTCTGACAACAGGCCAGGCTCAGTTTGCTGCCAGGTGGAAGATTAAGGATAGAGAGAATGAAGAGAATATAGTAGATGGATAAATACACAGGGGAAGAGGAGGGCTAGAGGTTAGTTAGGGTCAATGAGACAGAGCCAAACATAGAGGATCATTCTCTCACTACAAAGGAGGATCAGGGAGTAGAACACAGACAGGAAGACTTGTAATTCCACCTCTAATGAAAAATAGCATTAAGAAGAAGTTACTCTTACTAGAATACATGAAGACCAAGCAAGATCAAAAATAGATCAGATGAATGATGGTGATGCGGCATAATGTATTTTGTATCAGGTATAATGTACTAGCTTCTAAGGTTGTACAACTGCTGGTTTCATGTGTCTGTTGTTGAGTTTCACTGTGAAGGACAAGCAGGCTGGATCTGAATGTGTATTTATGCAGTAAACAGAACGCAGCTAGCTAGTCCTTGAGATATTTATTTATTCACTGATGCCTACAGGCATACTGAGCCAGTCACATGGTTCCTCTGAACTGTCACTCGTCGTAGTTGTCAAACTGAAATGACACGTCATGGTTTGTGCTGTCGGGACCTGACTGAACTCTGCAATGAGTTTGAGTTTGTGTTTTTAGAGAGTGGGTGGGAAAGAGAGTGGGAGTGATTGGGAGAAAGGGAGAGATAGGAAAAGTCACAGTATTTAGGTTGAGGTGATAGTGAAAAATCAACCTTTGCTTTGAACCACCAGCATTGTGCAACAAACTCATTGCTACATTTAAGCCCTGGTTTTAGTACTGTTAGTTTGTAATGCTGACTCTTTCTTAGTGTTCTTCAATCTTATACAGATGTCAGTTACTCCAATCTTTGTCTAATCATATCAAACAAATCACGCTGGGGACATCTGCAGCTATCATAATGTGTTTCTAACAGCTTGAACCACATTTAGGACAGTAATTTGGTTATCAATGTATTGCAGAATTCTCCCATCTGCCCAGGACATTCTTGGTTCTTTATCAAGCAGTTAAAGTATTTGCAGTAAGCTAATATAATTCGGTAAACATGATAAACAGTTATGAGCCAGAATGATGAGGTATTGATTAGTTCAGAGTCTAGGGCAGAGCAACATCAACAAGGGAAACATTGGCTGAGCTCCCACTAGAATGAATAGGAGAGAAATCAATGGTTGTACTGTACCTATATTCAGATGGACACTGTATTTCCCCAGCACTACAGGAGCCATAGGGAGAGAGAGGGAAACATACACAGGTTAATATGTAGTCACATTACACCACACAGAGCACACAGAGCATAGTAGACACAAAAAAGAAGACACAGCCATACAGTACCACAAGTGAAGTTTCCAGTCACAAAACACACACTAGTTCCACCACAGAAATAACAACACAAGATGTGTTGTGTGTGTTTGACCTTGATGTGTATGTGTAGTTGTAGGTTAAACATTTGTTCACTTAACATATAAGTGACTCTTTAAAAAGGACTAAATACTCTGACAGATTTCAGACAATCATTTATCCTTGTTACACAGTAACACCACATCCCATAGACCTACATTTAAACCCCACTCCAAAACAACAAGGGTATGGCTTTGTGCTATATAGGACAAGGTGAGCGGCTAGAATACACAGACTGTGTGAGAATGTGTGTGTGAGTGCTTGCAGTGTGTGTGTGAGTGTGTGTATGTGTGTGTGCCTGTGTGTGTGTATATTTGTGTGTGTGTGTGTGTGCACGCAAGTTCGTGAATGTGTGTGTACTATACAGTATGTGTATAACACTGTAGGCTACTCACAGTTGAGCAGGCCAAGCTGCAGCAGTGATGCCAAGGCTGTGATGATCATGAACATGAGTAGGCCTCCCCTCCTCCCCATCAGGCCCACCGCAGGGCACAGTGCCATGCATGAAGCCACGGCGATGCCCGCCATGGTGTAGTAGTCACCGTAGAAGTTGTGGAACATGGTGGACTCGTGGGTCTCGTGGTGGTCCATCATACTGCGGGCAAAGCAATGGTGGATCCCATAGCCAGTCAGTCTGGATAGAGGGAGAGAGGGGGAGAGAATGAGGAGAGAGAGAATGAAGATAAGGGAGAAAGGAGTGAGGAGCCGAAAGAGTGTACAGAGAGGACAGAAAGAAAGAGAGGGGGATATGGGAAGAGAGGGTAACGAAAGACGATATGAGTCCGGACAGAGAGTGAGGGAGAAGAAAGAAGAGGAAAATGTATCTCTCTTCTCGTCTCCTCTGAAACAAAACCAAAAGCACACACACACACCCTCTCCTGCTAATCTCAGTTCTCTCATAAGAACACAGCTCATGGAAAATTCATGGTCAGACTAGAGTCAGGGGCACCGTGCACTGAAATAGCAAGGGCTGTGTCTATGTCTGCATGTCTATAAATGACTGGGTTATGTGAGGGAAGAGGTGAATCTTTATTCTGAAGGCAGATAGATAGACAGATGGATGGATGAATGGATAAACAGACAGACAGACGGATGGACAGACATGCCTGCTAACAGCCCAGACAGACAGAGTGACGGATGGATGGACGGACGGACAGGCCTGCTAACAGCACAGAGGGCCACTGTTGGTCGATGCTGCATCGAGCAGACAGGTCAATAGTCCCATCATCATGGCACAACGGCCACCGCATTTAACACCCAGAGGCGTCTTACTGACAGCTGCATCATGGACACATGCACACTCACACACAGACACACACTGCCAGACACACAAAGAAGATACTTACGAGTTCACACAGAGGACCACAATGTTTTTCCACAGGTTCCTTGTCCCCACCATCTTTACAATACATGTCTTTTTGGGTTTCTTGTGAAGCGCTTTCTGCAGCTCTGAAACAATGAAAATAAGTCACATAAGGCTTTATACCAGGTTGTACAGTCAACCACAGAGCTTCATCTAATTCCACATGATGGTTAGGGTTTAGGTGAGGGAAGCAGTCTAAGGACACTTTCAGCTGCACACTATGTGATTCATTCCAACACATTTCATCATGTGACATCTCTTCCTGTCAGGAGAGAGGTATGACAGGGGGAAGGATTGGGTGACTAGAGGAAAAGAAGACGAGTGAATGAATGGATTGTGTTCAGAGGACAACGCCCCAGCGCAGCACGGATCATGGCATGGGGCACGGATGTTTTGAAATATAATGGGTTGCTATGGAAACAAAACTCCACTTTCTGCATGTGCACACACATATGCACGTGATAGGCAGCATTCCAAGTTTATCTCTATAAAATGATGGAGCTTTGAAGTCATCCTCTGGCCTAGCAGCATAGCCATAATCCCTCATCTATGATTGGCTCTTAAACGGGTGGCCCTTTTCAGGGGCTAGTTATGTTACATTCAGAAGGCTACATAACACACACACACACACACAACTGCACCGCCCTCAACCACAGGTCTCTACAGAGGGTGGTGCGGACGGCCCAATACATCATATTTGTACTGCATTGTCGAGGGAGCTCGCAAGTAAGCATTTCGCTGCACCGTTTATACCAGCAGTAAACTGTGTAAATGACAAATAAACTTTAATTTGATTTGACAAACACCCAGAGGCTGCTTCTGGCTTTATTGTGAAGTGTCTCCAGCTAAGAGAACCAGGTGCACCATGGAAAGATGACACGAGCATAGCTCTACCACTACAGAGAGAAGGAATGCTCTAGCTAGCTACACCCATAGATGCAGATGATAACAGGAGGACAGAGAGCTGTGTGAGGAAGAATGGGACGGCCCTGCTGACAGACACACTGCTCTAGAGGATCTCTGGATGCTAAGAAAATAGTTGATTTCATATTAAGCAACTCTGTTTTACTATCTATTCTCACTGTTACTCTGAGTAGCACAGCAACATAATAATTTGTAAATGGTTAGCATTTTACTCTGCCATATCATACCTGACAAGAATACCTCCTAGGTAAAAGGGCACAGCTACAGGTAACTGCCAAAATAAAGGAAACACTTGAGTAAATTAGGGTTCTGGCGGCTCTGTTATGGTGTGGTGTGCCTTTTCCTGGCATGGTTTAGGTCCACTCAACCCCTTAGAGGGCAAGGTAAACACCAGTAAATACACAGCCATTCTGAGTGATCACCTTCAACCTATGGTGAATCGTTTCTATCCTGATGGGAGTGGTCTCTTCCAGGGTGACAATACCCCCATCCACAGGGCACAAGTGGTCACTGAATGAGACAGCGTTTTCCACCACCATCAACAAAACACAAAATAATGGAATTCTCGTGAAAGATCCCTCCAATAGGTTCCAGACACTTGTAGAATCTATGCCAAGGTGCATTAAAGCTGTTCTGACGGCTCGTGGTCGCCTAACGCCCTATTAAGACACTTTATGTTGGTTTTTCCTTTATTTTGGCAGTTACCTGTATACAGTGTTTCCCTTAGGATTTTCTTCAGCAGCAGTGGCAAAATTTGCTGTTCAGGCAACTCGTGGTGGCCCAACGCCATATTAAGACACTATGTTGGTGTTTTTTTTGTTTACCATGGGACAGAGAGAACACTTTACAGTTAGCTTCCTGCAATTCTACACATTTTGCCATGGGGCTGATAGAAAGTTCAGTTTTAAAGCTAATTTCCTTCAATTATACACATTTTGCCATGGCTTATGCCTTGTTCTTATGCTATCTGAGTGGTGACTCAAATATTATAACAAAATCAATGGGGGCCCCATGCCATAACATTTTTGGAATTTTAGATTCTCCCTGACGGTCTAGTTTTTTATTTGGCAATCATTTAGGTGATTGTTCGTTCTCAAAGATTATCTTATGAAAAAATATATTGATCCGTTATCTTTTCTACATACATTATATATGGTTTTAGTCGTTTAAGTTTACACTGAAAACGTTTTACCATCCCGAAAAGTATTTTTTAATTTTTTTCTATTACCGTAAGAGTTATCGAAGTCCAAAAATGTAATAAACAAATCAATATTTCACTGCTCCCCTAATGAAAAGGTGTGAGTTAAACATAACACTGAAAATACTAATATTTCAAATGAAATTATACAATTATTATCAAATTAATTTGAGCTCTTTAGCTGTTTCGGTACTGAGAAGGCCAAGTGGGATAAAGGGGGTGTTTGAGAATAAGAACCTAATTCTGAAGGCATATAAGCAAATACATTTACTTAAGGAATAATCCTCTAGATGGTGCATCATGGGTGAATAAAACTTTATTTAAAAACTGATTGAAGTTTTTACAGAAACTTGAAAAAGTGTTACGTAATGAGATGTCCACAGACACTGTATGTACCGAATAAATATTATAGTTTTAATGTAAACTTCAATTAGTATACAATTCTTATGATTTATGGACAAACTACAGCAACATATTTTGTGTTTTATTCAAATAAGGTAGCTATTTATAAAAAGATTTGACCCGATAATTTTATCCGGACACATTTTGGTAATGAGGATTTACAGTGGAAATGTACAAAATTCAGGCGAAAATTTTAAATGTATTTAAAATAAGACTAGACATCTTAGTCCTCAGAATGATGCATCATGGTTTTGTAACTTAATTTGCTACAGACATTTTAAAACTGGTTTCATGAGAGTCACCCAGTTATCTCTTGTCCAAACTGCAGGAGTCTGGCCTGGCCTGGCTATGGCTGTGCCTATCCACTATCCAGACACTAAGGTAGAGGTCAAAGGGATTGACCTGGTCCTATCTGTTGTCTATGAGCGATGCCTCTCCCCATCTCCTTCTCCCCTCCTCCCTCTAAAGGCCCTAATAAACCGTGTTGGGGAAGCTACTCTGAAAATATAGTTTACCAAACTAACAATACTTCACACTGGAAGAAAGCTACCCATAAGAAAAATATAGTTTACTTAACTAAAGTTACTTTGAAAAAGTAGTTCATTAACTCCAAACTACTTTGTGATAAATTACCCTATCTAAATCTGAAATGTCATAGACTACAAATTGCAAGAACAAAGTTCAGTCTGGAGTCAGATGTTAACAGAACATGTATTTATCCTATTAAACATTTAAACAATGTTTCAAGTGAGAATTAGGCAGGTCTGATATTTTTTGTTGGAAAAATGTAATATGTAGTTCCAGTAGATAGCTACACCGCTACTTGGAAAAAAAGTAAGTAACTACTGAAAACACTACTGGATTAGAATTTAGTTCAACTACCACCAAGCTACTGCAAATTTGTTACTGCAAACTACTTATAGTTCACTACACCCCAACACTGCTAATAAAGTTAATTAGGGTCCGAAGGGTCGGGTCCATGAGGCCACGGTGTAGGTTTCCTACCCTGCCGCCGATATCCCTCCGCCCCCAGGAGAGAGTGCTGTTACTATGGTAACCAGGCAGAGAGGAAGGAAGGGGATCTTCCCCCGTCAGTCAGATAATCCATATAGACTGTTGACTGGACAACAGGGACCTACACTCTACTGAGCCTGCCGAGGCCTTTCTGTCTCAGAGAGAAACTAACATTGGTATTCTTATATACTGTATGCTCATGGCTGCGTTTACACAGGCAGCCTAATTCTGATATTCTTTCCACTAATTTGTCTTTTGACCAATTACATCTGATCTTTCACATCATATTTTTTTCAGAGCTGATCTGATTGGTCAAATGACCAATTAGTGAAAAAAAGATCTGAATTGGGCTGCCTGCGTAAACACAGCCAGAGTTTTGTTCAAAGTATTCAACGTTAATAGATAGTGAATAATAATGAAAAGGATCTAGAGACTAGCCTAACTGTCCTTTCTAGAGATATTGTCTAAGGAGAACCTTTCACTTCAGGGATCAACAAACATTTCACTTCCAAATAACAAAATTAAACCCATAGCAGAGCAAAGAAACTAATTTAAACCAAAGACGAAACACTTGGGCTAATTAGATAGTGTTAATTACAGCAATAATTACAATAGTGATCTCTACCTGTAAGGATGTGGTCAGTGTCCAGCTCGGGGTTGACCTGGTTCTTCTTGATGATGTGTCCCATGATCCACTTGGAGCGGCCGTACTGTTGAGTGGCCAGCAGCCACCGCAGCGACTCAGGAAAGATCCTGCATGGAGACAAGACAGAACACTCACTAACTCTCTCCTCAATACAATATGAACCGCTGAATACATTTAAAAAAAACATTTCAGTCATTTAGCAGACGCTCTTATTCAGAGCGACTTACAGTTAGTGAGTGCATACATTTTCATACTGCCCCCCCGTGGGAAACGAACCCACAACCCTGGCGTTGCAAGCGCCATGCTCTACCAACTGAGCTACAGGGGACTGAAATTAGTATGAATTTTTTTCACTGGGATTTAATGAGAGGCTGATAGGAATCTCAATAAATCAGTCTCCTCCTCAGGCTCTGTGGGAATCCCTGAATCTGAAAATGGTGTGTGTCCATGTGTGTCCCCGTGTGTGTCCGTGTATATATACAGTATATATATATATATATATATATATATATATATATATATATATATATATATATATATATATACTGTATATACACACAGACACACACACACACATACACACCATTTTCAGACTCAGGTGGTTAATTAATTATGACTTATTACCCAGGCTTTAAAAATACCAGCTATAGTAACATGTACAGTAGCTTAAGCTACAAATATAATAGGTGATTAGGTATTGTTATTACAGAGGGAAACAGAGCTGGAAAAATCCCAAGAAGCTTCCCTCTGATTCTATACATCTCTGATTAAACTCCAGTGTCCTGGGAACTACACAGATAATACTGCATTTCCGAGTTCTCCCATGCCCCACTGGCCCCATACTCATTTCATACATACATAATATGAGCATTGGATAAATATAACCCACATTAACATAAAGCAGAAACCAATCATGACCTGTAGTGTCGGATAATTGGGAGTAGCACCTTATCAAGTGAATTAAATCAGTATTTTCAATATAAATGGGATCCTCTGTATGCATACAATAAATAGCTAAATATATCAACACTGAGATGCCAAATTGTAGCAGGTGTTGAAGTATAGCCTGGTCCCAGAACAGTTTTGCGCTTTGCCTGAGATGGGGAGTAAAGTAGGTGTTGTCCTCACCAGATATAAGCCAGCATGAGGAGCAGCGGGCAGATGATGACAGCCTGCAGGACCTGCCAGTCTCGACAGAGATATGCCATCCCTGGCATCAGGAGCTGCCCACCCAGCACCACGAAGCTGGCAACCATGGTCATGGAGAAACGCCAGGCTGGTAGGCACAACTCGATCCCTGGTAGAGAGAGAGGAGAAAGAGAGGTTAGCCTACATGAAACTACAATACAGATAGATACACACTCTGACCACAGACACAGTTAGTTCAATCTATGATAGAGATGGTGCAGAGGGAACACAAGGTCAACAATGACACTCCCACACATACACAACTTGACAGAGAGAGTGGACAGAGGGGAGAGTGGTGACACTAGAGTTCCACTACACAGCTCCATCCCTGGGAAGGAGAGGAGGTATCCTGATACCGATGCCACTCTAGTATTGTGAACATTATTATCTAATTACCTTGTCTAGAACTGATTCTAAATGTATGACTGACGCCACTGCATAAACCTGCATTATCATGCAGAGAATATGGGACTATTAGCCTATTTTAGCTGAAGAGCACTGACTCTTCCATGGCTAGGACACAACACAGTCTCTGTCCTGATCCGACTGAACCAAACCTATTGCAGTGAACTAATGAGGGTCTCCTTGTACTAATTTCTTCCCAGCCACTATCAGAAAGGCCCTGATTCATTCATACAGTCATTAGCATGCATAACACCACCACGCTAGCCGGCAGAAACACAGAACTCAGCCCATTAGCTAGCTAGACACTGCAGCAGCATAGCGTAGAATAAAATAGGCTATATCAAACTGAAGAAGATGGTGAGTGGTACTGTATTGCAACAACAGTTCCCTTTCCCTTCCCTTCTCTTTCTCAGTCTTTTGTCCTCCATTCATCACTTTATATCTCCTCCTATCTTTCTTTTTTACTTGTGTTTTTTCTTATTCTGGTGGCTACATTCTGCAGCTGGAGCACATAGCTCAGCTCCAACTGGGTCTTTCAAGGTGATAGGGCCGAGATAATACAGTGTCAGCAGGCTGCAGCTCCGCTCCACCCCTGAGGAAAAGGCCGGAATTTCAATTAGGATCTGCCCCCCTCCTAGCTAGTTTGAATAATGCTTTGTGTTCACGGGACAGTAACGCAGCTGGAACGACAGAGCTAAGACTGAGGAGGAGGAGGAGAGGAGAGAGGAGAGGGGTGAGAGAGAGGTGGGAGAGAGGAGAGGGAGTGTTGGGTTTGGTGTAACCTCACCATGACACTTGACAGTAACGCAGCTGTAACAACAAAGCTAAGACTGAAGAGGAGAGGTAGAGGGGAAGACGAGAGGGGAGAGGTGTGGGAGGGGAGAGAGGAGAGGGAGTGTTGGGTTTTGGAGTAACCTCATCCTGAACCTCTGTGGGAGTTTTGTGAGTAAAGTCATGGGTCACTGGAAATAGCATGGGTTGGTGTTATGTGGTTTTGTGAGTGTGTGAATAGAACATATGGATGTACTTACAGTACATTCTACAGAAGTACTACAGTACCAGTCAAAAGTTTGGACACACCTACTCATTCAAGGGATTTTCTTTATTTTTACTATTTTCTACTATGAAATAACACATTTGGAATCATGTAGTAACCCAAAAAAGTGTTAAACAAATCCAAATATATTTTATATTTGAGATTCTTCAAAGTAGCCACCCTTTGTCTTGATGACAGCTTTGCACACTCTTGGCATTCTCTCAACCAGCTTCACCTGGAATGCTTTTCCAACACTCTTGAAGGTTCCCACATATGCTGAGCACAGGCTGCTTTTCCTTCACTCTGCGGACCAACTCATCCCAAACCATCTCAATTTGGTTGAGGTCGGGTGATTGTGGAGGCCAGGTCATCTGATGCAGCACTCCATCACTCTCCTTCTTGGTCAAATAGCCTTTACTTTTGTTTTGTCCAAACTTTTGACTGGTACTGTATGTGTGAAAATATATGAGACATGCACGCTCACACAGACACACAGACATTTACATTTACATTTTAGTCATTTAGCAGACGCTCTTATCCAGAGCGACTTACAGACATTCCCTGACTAACATGCACACTCACACACAGACACTCACACACATACACTTGTAAGCTCCTGAAGGTGCAGAATGGAGACTTGAGGACTGGAGGTGGAGGCCTCCTGAGCTCCTTACTACAGCTGACCCTAATCCTACACATCCCTCCTGATCAGCAGCCCACACTGCCCTGCACCAGCCCCAACCTCCAACCATCAGCCCAGGACCTGCCCTGTCTGCTGACACAAATCCCAGCGCTCAGGTGATGTCACACACAAAGCACTCACAGAAAGCCAGGATGACACAGGGGTGATACTGAGGTGACTCATGGGTGACCAAAAAGGAGTGACCAAATGCACTAAAACGGGACTTCGGTAACACACATGACGACAACTGACAAGACTCATCTAAAGCCATGGTGGGTGACAGCATTGGAATCAAGGAGTAGCCTATCCATCAAAAGCCATTATCTGCCAAAAGCCTCTGGTTTGCAGCCTCTGTTTACCAAGTAGTCCAACACAGTGTGGATTCTGGAATAGAACATGCAACTTCAAGAACATAATGTCCAGTGAGTCAAAGAGGATCCATTGTTCTGAGAACATTACAGTATCTTACCACTAGGGGCCTACAGTGATGTTATTTCCCTGTGACCAGCGGGTAACACACCACACTGACCTTTCCCCGGCAGTCACATGATCTCCTCATGGCCCCATGCCATGTCGTCAACCCCTGCCTCCCCCCCTGCTCCCAGCCACTGGGTTTGTGTGTTCCCAACCTGTAAACAGCTCCAGGGCCTGCTCCTTCTAAATACAGTAAAGATGTGGTGGTAGACATATTACACTTTGTAAAGGTGTCATTCTTAAAAAGATTGTAGATAATAAGACTCAGAATACTGATTACAGTTTTTTTTTTCTTCAAGAGATAGTACAAATGGAATAATGTGTGTGCAACCATGTGCTCAATATCCAGAAAGGTTGAGACTTAAGACTGACTCTGTGTGGACGTGTTTAACTATACCTGTGGGGACCAGAAATCCCCACAAGAATAGTAAACAAATAAACATTTGACCAACTTGGGACATTTTGTTAGTCCCCACAAGGTCAAATGCTATTTCTAGGGGGTTTAGGGTTAAGGTTAGAATTGGTGTTAGGGTTAGAATTAGGTTTAGGGTTAGGAGCTAGGGTTAGGGTTATGGTTAGGTTTTGGGGTTAAGGTTAGGGTTAGGGTTAAGGTTAGGGTTAGAGTTAGTGTAAGGGTTAAAGTTAGTGTTAGGGTTAGACTGTGTGTGGTGTGTGTGTGTGTGTATGTGTATGTGTCACTGCGTGCCTGCGTGTGTGTATGTGTCACTGCGTGCCTGCGTGCCTGCTTGTGTGTGTGTGTATGTGTCCCTGCGTGCCTTTGTGTGTGTGTGTGTATGTGTCACTGCGTGCCTGTGTGTGTGTGTATGTGTCACTGCGTGCCTGCGTGCCTGCTTGTGTGTGTGTATGTGTCACTGCGTGCCTTTGTGTGTGTGTGTATGTGTCACTGCGTGCCTTTGTGTGTGTGTGTGTGTGTATGTGTCACTGCGTGCCTGCGTGTGTGTGTGTATGTGTCACTGCGTGCCTGCGTGTGTATGTGTCACTGCGTGCCTGCGTGTGTGTGTGTGTGCGTTCTTGCGTGTGTGCCTGTAGTAGGCCTATCTCATTCTTTGTGGACTTTAAGTGAGGTCACACTCATGATGAATACCTTATCTTAACCTGTAAGGATCAGTAGGCTATGGGTCCAAGGCCTCTGAGGAATAGAGGGTTGTTTAGGTTACAACTTCACAGTAATACTACTCTGATCCCTACTTCCAAAATGGCATGACAATAATTACAACTTATAACTTTGCCTGCTGAACGTGGATGAATGGATCTGTGTGTGTGTGACTGTGTGTGTGCATGCACATGTGAGTTTGCGTCTGTCTCTGTAGTAAAAACAGACACTACTATCAACACAAAAAGGATGTATCTGGGGAGTAATCATTACTCCAAACAGTTGCAAAACTAGTTTTGTTACTTTTGCAACAAAAACGAGCGTTTCTATTGGACAGACTCAGGTAGGTCCCTCCCTGTTTGCTGAACCTGTCCAATAGAAACGCTAGTTTTCGTGGCAAAACTGTTTGGAGTAATGATTACACCTCAGCTCTACTAGTCCCAGATGGGACCCCAGACAGACATAAAATAGTCCAAAAAGTTGACGGATTAGGTCTACCGTTGACTCCCTACACCATGATAAGCAAAAAGATACTATGCAGTCCTGCTCTGTTGCTTTGGACAGTGGGTAAATGTCACTTATCCAAAGGGTGAGAGATCATGTGGTTATATCATGCTGTGAAAGCGTGAGTGGTTTGAATAACACGGAGTCTGCAAAATGGGCATACTACAGTATCAAGCTATGGATAAAAGCTCCCCATCCATCCACCACACTGGGACTTCTGATAGGGAGGGATATAGACCCCCAAGATAGGATGGGGGCTAGGTGTGAGAGATAGGCATGGAGGGATATAGTGGAGGAGGGAAAGGAAGTTTGCCTATCAGCCGGGGAATGTACACTCAGCACAAAAGTGAACTTTACCCTGCTCAGAGGAAGCACTGAGTGTGCATCTTAACTCATGTATCTAGACACAGAGATTTAGGGAGTGGGGGAGGACAGGAAGAGAAGGAGGGAAGGGATTCTGTGGTAACCCAGCCTGTGAATGACCCACCCAGTCACAGATTTCCTCCTCTCCTCTCATTGGAGAAACTCCTCCATTTCTTCTACCTAGACATCCTTCTCTGTCTCTCTGAGAAATAGGGCTGATCTCAGCAGACATTTGTCTGTAGTGGGGAGGCAAATATATCACTAGGTGATCCATGTTTAGTTAAGCCGGTGTCCAACATGCCTTCATCATAAGTGTCTAACTGATCCTAGTTCCTGAGGGTGAGTGAGCACAGTGCAGCAGGCTGTGGCTGGTGTCCTCAGGAAGCCATATCCATAGTGTATGATGAAAAGCTCTTCTCTACAGCAGAGAGATGGACAGTGTCTGCTAATGTGAACAGGCCTAAGTGATACATCCACCCAGATAACCCATTGACAATCAATTAAAACATAGACAGGTAGACAGAGAGATAGATAAACTGACATTGAAGCTATAAGGATCCAAGACTGAGCATGGACTCAGCATGCCACTGCAGCAGGAAGGGGAACAGAGCTGGCCCAAATCCTGTCTGAATGAACCAGCTTTACTCCCCCATCACCAGAGGGGAAACAGACCAGGATAGAGCAGGGCAAACAGGGGGTACGCTGCCCCCCGGCTCACACAGAAGAGGGGCTACGGATATTACATATT